CCGTCGATGCTTGTTGTCAAAGGCTCAATGGCCTGCCTGCCGAAGCCATCGATCGGATTTTGTCGAAAAATACCTGTAACGCTAACAAAACACGGTCGTATGCTTGAGTCATTTTCACAAAAGTTTATTGACTTTTCGATAATATTTTGGGTGGATATTGGTCAGGAAAAAATGTTCTTTCCGAATATGTAGGTTTCATAACGATTGATCATCGTTTTCAATACGTTTTGATGTTGTAAAGGACATCGCGCTCCGCCCGAATCAAATTTTCAAATTAATTTTTCATTATTAAGGAAATGGTACGGATCATCAGTTTTTGTTTGCTGTTCTCTGATTACACATACATTTGTCTGCAAAATGCTACAACACCGATTTCATTCCGTCAAGCCGTTTTCCAGCGGCATCGATTTTCCCGTCACAATGCACGAAATCGGTCATTTTTTCACAACCGGGGGTGCTGTCTTGCACGTGGCGCGTGCTATGCTATGAAACCAAATCGATACGCTAGTTCCATCTCTCCTCTATCCAGTGGTGTAAACCGCTTCTCGCTGCGCCCACCCGTTGCCGATTTATACAGCCGGGAAGCAGGCGCCGCAGGCCGGTTTTCGTACGATGTTCGTTTTGACCGTTTCCCGTGTTAACCCTATGGCGCACGCGAGCGCGTGCCGACGGCGCACCCCTGGTCCGATCACGCCCAAATTTTAATACAAAGGCCGCCCACGCCCACAGATTCGGCATGCCAAATTTCACGCCGATACGCGGCGCCTTTCAGGCGCAATAAGACACATAAGTCATGACGCACGCACGCACGCACGGACAACTTATAATTCATAATATAGATTTGACCTTGAAAGGTCAACTTGAAAATTTGACCTCAGGTCAAGGTCATGACCTGACCGGAAAGGGTCATGTTGCATATCAGTCGATCCGTATCGTCGAGCTGAACACATCTAAGGCGTTTTCATCGCTCTAGCATGCCTCTATCAAAAGTTATTTGCGAAAAACTGTTAGATACCATTCGTGACCTAAGATGACCTCAGGGCATAAACAAGGGTCACGGACACCATTTTCATGTTCTGTGTGTCTAAACCACTTGTAATTCGGTGTTTGGGAGTGTTTATAATGTCTTTCGTCCAAAAGAGGCGCATTTCAATTTTTCCCATTGACTTATAATGGGGAGGTCGCAAATTGACCTGACCTTAGGTCATCGATATCAAAATTCTGAGATATACATTTTGTACATGCTATTGCTCTCAGAAATCGCTGAAAGTTTCAAAGCGATCGGTCACTCGGTGTAGCTATGACAGACATTGAAACTTTTTATGAGGTGAGAACACTTCAAGTGACCTGGTGACCTGACCTTGAATGACCTTGGTCTGAAATTTTCACAACATGTGTAGAATTGATGTATAATAAGGTGTAGCGCCGCCGTTTTTGAGATATTCATGAAAAAACACAAGGGGGGTGTTCAAACCCCCCCCCCCCCAGCAGGGCGCGGGTTAAAAGGCACTCGCAGCACTCTGAACCCGCGCCAAGTCGGCCGAGTTGACTCACGTGGGCAACAGGGATCCAGTTCTGCTTCCCTCTTTCCATATCAAGAATAATATTTATGTGTAAACATATAATTTGGTTTTCTCAGTCAAATATACTTACGTTATATTTGGCTTAATAAATATTTATTAACCCTCGCCGGCCGAGGGGGGGGGGGCGGGTGCCGCCCCCCATAGGGTTTTTTCGCGATAGCTCCGAGCACGTTGGCGATAGAGAGCTGAAACTTGGCATACCTGACCTTTGATCCAAGCCGGATCTTTTGACACCAACCGCATTTTTGGGTCAGGTCAGGTCACTGACCTATGACGTCATAGGTGAACCTCTGCACGGTCTTCAGATGTCGCAACTTCGCAACGCCCTCACTGCCAGAGGAGATGTCACAGGGAAATGAAACTTGCAGGATCTAGTATCCATTATGAGTCCCACAACTTGTATATCTCGGATTTTTCCTAAAGGTCATATGAGGTCAGGTCATTTTCGTGACCTCACCATTATAAGTCAATGGGGAAAAATGAAAACTGCTATTCTGGCGCCGGGAACGATCTCCAACTATCTCAAGCACACAGAATCGTGATTTGATGCACTCCTTGCAAGGTTAGATGCGTCACTTTTGCAATGTTGACCTTGCGTGACGTCATCAAGGTCATATTAGTTTTTCGTCAATAACTCTTGATCAAATTGAGCTAGCGAGTCGGGAAAGCCACCAATGGACTCAGGAAGGCCTGCCGAATCGAATGATATGCGACATGACCTCTTTCGACCAGCTTCGTGACCTGGGGGTGCTGACCTGACCTTGACCTGAGGTCAACACCCCAAGTTGACCTGACCCGGACAAAAAGTATATCATTCGACGCGCCTGAGCGAGGCGAACACGATGCTGCCAAAATCGGCGCTCTGCTGCCGTTTTTGCGAAGTTATTCACCAAAAACTGAACCGTACCTTGGGGCACTTGACCTGACCTCAGAGGTCACCGATTGACCTAGGACCTTAAAATCGGGTACCAATCTCTGCGTCTCGTAACGGCGCACACGCTCGTTTTTTTCCGCGACGCGCTAGCTCCACCAGGGGCGAAACGGCGAGGGGGGGTCGTACCCGCCCCGCCCCCCCCCCCCTCGGCCGGCGCGTATGTAGAAAACCAATAGGTCCGGCGAGGGTTAAATGATATAACTAGGTTATATTATTCGTAGATGATTTTAATCATTGTCATTCAATACATGATCCTTTTGTTAATTTTTAAACCAATGTTAAAAATTACTCTTGTTTTTAAAGTCGACATTTTTTTAAATACATTGTTCTAGAGTAGTGACACTATATGTTATCCTTTTCGGCACAGGGAATTATCTTGATACCGTCGACCAGGGGTGTAGGAACGTCACGAAAAGTGGGGAGGGGGCAGCCCCCGGCCAGGGAAGCTTTGATGTCACTTCGTGAGAAACCAAATACGTGGGCCGCAGCAGGGTCCTCGTGTGTCGCAGAAGGGCCCATAGGCCGCAGCAACCCCCCCCCCCCTACAGCAGGACCCCCGTGAGCCGTAGCAGGGGGCCCCTTGAGTTGCAGTTTTGTCTCGCGGGCCACAACAGGGTCCTTGCGGGTCGCAGTAGGGCCTCACGCGGTCTGCAGCAGGTTCCCCGCCAGCCACAGTAGGGCCCCGCGGTCTGCAAGACTAGGGGCCCCACGGGCCACAGAAGGGCCCTGGCGAACCATGGGCCCAAACGTGGCGAGGCAGGGCCTCACGTGCCGAAGCAGGGCACCCTCAAGCTACAGAAGGGCCCCAAGGTCTGTAGAAGGGCCCCCGCGATCCGCAGCAGGGGCCCCCGTGGCCGCAGCTGGGCCCCCGAGAGCCCCAACAGGGGGCCCCCGTGGCCGCAGCAGGGGCTCCCGCGGCCGCAGCAGGGCCCCCGCGGGCTGCAGGGGCCCCGCGAGCCCCAGCAGGGCCCCCCGAGCCGCAGTAGGGCCCGCATTCTACAGCATGGGCCCCCCGAGCCGTAGCAGGGCAGGGCCCCCCGAGAGCCGCAGCAGGGCCCTCTCAAGCTACAGAAGGGCCCCGCGAGCCGCAGCGGGGGCCCCCGTGGCCGCAGCAGGGGTCCCCGTGGCCGCGGCAGGGCCCCGAGAGCCCCAACAGGGGCCCCCGCAGCCGCAGCAGGGGCTCCCGCGGCCGCAGCAGGGCCCCGTGGTGTCTAGCAGGGCCCCAGAGGCGCAGCAGGGGCCCCGCATTCTGTAGCAGGGGCCCCGGAGCCGCAGCAGGGCCCCCGCGAGCCGCAGCGGGCCCCCCGTGGCCGCAGCAGGGGCCCCCGCGGCCGCAGCAGGGCCCCGCGGGCTGCAGCAGGGCCCCCGCGGGCCGCAGCAGGCCCCCGCGGTGTTTAGCAGGGCCCCAGAGGCGCAGCAGGGCCCCCGAATTCTATAGCAGGGGCCCCCGTGGCCGCAGCAGGGACCCCCGCGGCCGCACCAGGGGCCCCGTAGTCGCAGCAGGGCACCCGCGGGTCGCAGCAGGGCCCCCGCGAGCCGCAGAAGGGGCCCCCGCGGGCCGCAGCAGGCCCCCCGCGGTGTCTAGCAGGGCCCCAGAGGCGCAGCAGGGCCCCCACATTCTGTAGCAGGGGGGGCGAGCCGCAGCAGGGCCCCGCGAGGCGCAGCGGGGCCCCCGTGGCCGCAGCAGGGCCCCCGAGAGCCCCAACGGGGGCCCCCGCGAGCCGCAGCAAGGGCCCCCGTGGCCGCAGCTGGGCCCCCGCGAGCCCCAGCAGGGCCCCCGAGCCGCAGCAGGGCCCCGCGAGGCGCAGCGGGGCCCCCGTTGCCGCAGCAGGGGCCCCCGTGGCCGCAGCAGGGCCCCCCGAGAGCCCCAACAGGGGCCCCCGCGGCCGCAGAAGGGGACCCCGCGGGCCGCAGCAGGGCCCCGCGGTGTCTAGCAGGGCCCCAGAGGCGCAGCAGGACCCCCGTGGTCTCTAGCAGGGCCCCCCGAGCCGCAGTAGGGCACCCGCGGTCTGCAGCAGGGGCCCCCGCCAGCCACAGCAGGGCACCGCCTAGTCGAAAAAGTGGTCCGACTAGTCGGAAAAGTCGGACCGGTGTCGATGCCCCTGCCAGTGGCCCCCCCCCCCCTGCCTACGCCCCTGGCAGTCGCCAGTCGGATTCATAAGTCATGAAAATAATCGACGGGCACTGGGCAGCCTAAGATCGGTTGCCCATTTTCCCCATGACGGCCGACGGGACCCCATGATTCTGGAGACAGAATGTTGAAAACTAGACGTGCATATGGATGATGGTTCCCTCAAGTCCCCTGCTTCCAACGATGTGGACAAAATCATCAGTGACTGACTGGACTGGCGAATCGAGTCCAACGTTCAGCTTTTCAATTACTGTGACGGTAAGTAGAGGCAAGTAGAGGAGTCAGTAGAAAATTCCTTCAGAAGTTTGGTAGCTCTGCCTCCGTCATCAAACTTGGCATCTGTACACGCCGACAATCGAGACGCAGATTTCTGCCCGATTGCCGCCGTTCCCTAAAGCATCATTCGCGCCGGCACTTAGTCGCCGTCGGATGCCTACCTAAATTGTAGGCAAAATTATTATTTCTAGTCTGAACTTAGCGCTTTCATTTACAACTAGTGGCTGGGTAAGTCGGTAAATTACAGTAATTTTTTACATGCATGCTTTGTTACACCGTATCAGTATTGCTGTTGATTGTGGCTGAACCGGTGTGCTTTGCCTCACCCTAAAACACAGCTTCTATCCATGCTTATCTTTGTTTAAAAACTATTTTATATTGTCCAGATGTTTTCAGTTATTTTCTGCATGTTTTTATTTGTGAGGCTAATGTTCTTACTGAAAAAGAATGTGTACCTTAGTGCTAACTGATGTCAATGTCGGATTGGTCTGGCTAACGTACAACTTTTGGTTGCCGCTGCAGGCACTCATCTAAAAGTAACAATGAGGAAATTAAGAAACTCAAATGAACATGTAATGATATAAATTGTTTGATCACCCCTTGCCTAATCCCCATCTTACACCTCCCTCTCCCTGCTTGCTTTATACGCCACCATGTGACATTGTTGACAACATTTGCAAGATGCACAAATGATTTTTTATGAATGCTGTTGCTTTGCTCCACCTTGTCCCTAACTATGCTCACAGGAATCAGCTCATGAGCAAGTGATAAAGACTTAACTGATCATTTTTTTTGTACTGAGTACTTAGGTAGGGTAGGTATTTTAAGTGCCTACTTAGCTACCTATCTTGGGTTTGTTCTTTTGAATATTGCTTTCATTAACATATTTTTATGTTAAATGCATCAGATAGTAACATTTGTTCTTTTCAAAGCAAAAAAGTTCCTGCTGAAAACTTTTAAATTGTTCTTCATTAGCATTCTATGTTCTTTATTTTTAAGAAGCGAGCTAAACCTATTGGTTAGCTTGCATTATACATTTCTATTGCATTTTTTGTTGTACAATTTTTATCCAGTATGCAACTTTTAAAGATGAGTATGAAGCTTTCTGTCCTTGTATTCGGTATTTTGTGTGCACATAAGGTCTGACATACAGCTTTGTGACATTATGCTGCTCTGAATGTTTTTTATGACAAACATGTCCAATCTTTCTGACATTTGTGGTTTGGCATTAATTGAGTAAACATGCCATGCTCTTGACATGTTACATTAGCCTGTTTACATTCCCATACTCCATGACCCATTTGCCACACTGTACTGTGCTTTTGTTGATTAGTGCAAGTCTGGTCCATGCTGATTCAGCATGGAGTGTTTACTGTTCAGGCAAGCTGACCAGTTTAATGCTGACAGCAGTCACTACCCGACCAAATACCAGCTCCTGCTCAGCTCCACCTATCTTACCCTTTTGGTGCACTACTGGCACTTACAATTTTGGCCGGCATAGCTTGGCCCTCTGACCCTACCAGTCCCAACTAATCTCATGAACAGCCCCTCACTGATCCCACCAACCACCTGCTGATCCTTGTAGATCCTTTCTGACCTTTCTGACCCCGGTTCTGCGACACCTGAGCGAGCGTCATTTCAGCGAACGACATTTGAGCGAAACATTTTCAGCGATTATCAATTTAAGCGATTGACCTTTTCAGCGATTGTCAAGTCCGCGAATTCAATCACAGCGATTATCAACTTTGGCGAGGACCAGAATCAGCAAAACCAAATTGAGCGAGTATATGGTGGTCAATGGGAGACCAATTGAGCGATGCAGTTACAGCGAAACCGAACGCGACAAAAGTCAATCATTTGCTACTTCTCGGAAATTCTTGCCCTTGGAATACCCGTCTGGTAGGTGTCATGCTTCAAGCTGCACGCGGCAAAATATAAATTTGCTTTAAAGTCCTTGGCTTTCCGGCATTTCTTCCTTCTCAGCTTGTGGTCAATAGTTTTGAGCAGCTGGATGAACTTCGGGAACAAAGTAATTTGAAAATTATTGCACCTCTTTACGCATCATTTGAAGACACATACATCGGACGACCAACAAGGGGTGGGAGGGGAAGGAGGCGGGCAAAATTTGAACTGAAAATGTGGAATGTGAGAGATAGGACGACGGAAGGAATGCCAAGGACCAATAATAAACTCGAGAGATGGCACAGGGAAATCCAGTCTATGTTTCAGGGACCTCACCCAAATACCTGGAAATGTGTACGGTGCTTGGGACAAGAACAAATTTTACAACATGGGAACTGATCCAAATTCAAGCGGGGGAATTTCGTGAAAAAAACAGCGCAAGCGATATGAATCTCTGAACAAATGTTTGGTCACCATTATTGGCAAAGAGCAGGGGAGTGAAATTGAACCGTTGATTTTTTTTTAGAAATGTAGCATTAAATTTGGAACTCAATGTCTTACCTTAGAACGTGACATCCGCCATCCAGTTCCGGATAACCATGAGAAACTCCGAAAACTTTCGTACGCAAGGTTACTTTACTATTATACGTATGCGCTGGCAAAAGTAAAAAAAAAAAAAATACACCGTAATAGGACGATGAAGTGTTTCGCTGAACTGACAGTCGCTCACATTGTAGTCGACGAAATAGGTATCGCTGGAACATAGCTTTCGCTAAAATTGATAATCGTCATATTTGATAATCGCTTAACTTGATAATCACTGAATTGCCATTCGCTGAAAATGGTTCGCTCAAATGACGTTCGCTCGAATGACACTCGCTAAAGTCGCTCGCACCGTCTGACCCCTCCTGATCCCACTGACCCGCTGTCACAGCACCATGGACGGCCTGACGCTGCTGACCTTAACTGGCCTGCGCTGACCCCCCCCCCCCCCCCCCCCCCCATCACAGCGCCATGGACGGCCTGACGCTGCCGACCCCTACTGACCTTCACACTGACCCCCTACTGGCCCCCTATCTCAGCGCCATGGACGGCCTGACGCTGCTGACCCCTTCTGACCCTACTGACCCCCTACTGACCCCCTACTGACCCGCTACTGACCCGCTATCACAGCGCCATGGACGGCCTGACGCTGCTGACTCCTGACCCCCTACTGACCCCCTATCACAGCGCCATGGACGGCCTGACGCTGCTGACCTTTGCTGACCTTTACTGAACCCCACTGACCCCACTGACCCCCTACTGACCCCCTACCGCAGCGCCATGGACGGCCTGACGCTGCTGATCGCCGCCGGCGTCATCGTCGTGCTCGGAGCCATGGTCTACCTGATCTCGGTGACCGGCGTCAAGGAGAAGAGCTATGACGAGGCCATGGCTGAACAGCGCCGTGCCATTCAGGAGAGCAAGGTACGCGACGGCGTATATTGCTACGCTAGGTAGAGGGAACATACTAGGGAAGCTTGGAGGGAGTTTTGGAGGAATGGGGATGCTATATGAAATGGGATTTGGGCGCTTGGAAAAGCCATGAAGAGGAAAAGCCAGGATGTGCGACTAGAGGGCTTCCAGGTTAGTAGGGATGAAATGCTGATGAAAGGAAAGCTTTGTACACCTTTTTGTGGATCCCTTTTGCATCACTGTAACTTATCTCGGACAGCCGTGACATTTGCTCTAGGATGTGGCTGTTTTTGTCGGTGTGGCCCGCGGTGCCTGCCGCCCGGCTTGGCCCGCGGGGGTAGAGCGGCGCCTGTGAAAGGTCGCGTCCGACCGTCACCCTCCCTCTCGTGAGGTGTCAGTCACACCGTGCCGCACTACCTCCAGGACCGTCAGGCCGCGCTGAAGAAGGAGACCCGACCGAAGCGACATTACCAGAACCGGCGCCGCAAGGACAAGTCGGCCGCCGCCGCCGGAGATGACAAGAAGCACAGCGAGGACGAACAGGTGGGTACGAGGCAGGTGGGGTTCATAGGCGGTCTGAGTGTCCGTGGCCGGCGGGAATCATGGTCGGGATGGGAGGGTCAATGAGATCTGTCTCACGGCTGGTTGGGCTCGTTCTTTTTGTGGGTGGAATCCGTGGTAGGAACTCTGATGTTAATTGCTTTGAACTTTGTTCGCACCGTATGTGAATTTCGTTTATCGTGGGATGTCATGCATGATGGCATTCGTTGAAAGTGACTGCAAGGAAGTACAGAATGTTTGAATGTAAGGAAGAATCGATGTCTGATAAGTCGCCTAACGACATGTTACAATCTTCATAGTAATGATGGACGACAAAATATCATGGAACTTGCATACCGATGCAGAATAATAACAGCTAGATTTACTGGCTTTGCCGACGACTATGTTACAGTTTATTGATCCTTAACTTACTGGGAGGGCATGGTCATGTTGCCACCACTGACCGAACGATATCAGTCCCATGTGTCTTCTGCATCCCGCTTTTGACTCACGGCTACTCTGTCCTCCAGGAGGTGGCCGGCGGCACCCGTCTATCTATCAGCGAGACCAACGGAGCACAGGAGGATTCCGACGACCCTTCTCCGGCGCCGAGCCCCCGACCGGCCGCTCGTGAGCCGGAGCCAGAGCCGGAGCCCGCCCCCGCCCCCGCCCCTGCCCCCGCCCCGGCCAAGAAGAACGCTGACAAGAAGAAGAAGGGAGGCAAACCCGAGCCGAAGCCCGAGGAGGAGAAGAAGCCCGCTGAGCCGAAGATCGAGAAGGAAGCTGTGAAGAAGGAGCCGGCGAAGGAGCTGCCCAAGGAGTCGCCCAAGGAGAAACATACCAAGGAGGTGGTGGAGAAAGAGGAGGTGGGTCGGGTGTTCGGGGCCATAGCTGCAGGCAGTCCACATGGTGGTTTGCAACTACGGTTGGGAATCAGTACCTATGTTGGGCTTTATTTTCGGTTTTGTTATCGGTCATTTAAGAACCTGACTTGGTATTCCAGCTGATAATATCTGAAAGTTCACTTCCTGACGATTTAGAGATGTTTATTCTTTTGCTGGCGTCTGGTAGCGTGCCCAATCAGCCGCTGTCTGTAGCTGAAGCTCTAATGCCTACCCTACCTGCTCCAGAGTCTACTTTCGCTCCTTTTTTGGTTCATCTCCACTTTTGAATGTTCTGACTATTGTTCCCACCACACAGGAGGATGAAGAGGTGGCTGAACCCGTAACCGAGACCGTCACGGCCTCCAAACAGGCGACCAACACCGAGGCTGCCCCGGGGGCCGCCAAGAAACGCCGACCGGCCGCCGAGAAACGCCGCAACCTCGCTGTTCCCGGACCCGGTGAGTGTTCACTGAACAGTGGTCTGGTGTTTTGAGAGGGGGGGGGGCACAGGGAGGGGTGCAATTGTCTTGGAGAGTGAGATGCGTGTCTACGTTTCTGAGGGTATGCTGAGATTCTTGTAGAGTGTGATGGGCGTCTTCACATTTATCAGGGTTCTGAGTATTTAAAGGACGTAGTTTGGGGCTGGGAGCCGATGAGCTAGGGAAAGCAGCGCTTTGATCTGTGAATGGTGACTTAGCGATGGACTATGATCGCTAAGAAATGTGGCTTGACGTTAAGGAGCCACGAACGGTGCCGGGGAATCGTGCAGCCATACAGCCATACAGGTTCCGCTATCCAAACGATAAATGCTGTAAGGAGGATAATACGCAAAAGGCGTGTGGTTTTTCTGACGATTTAGCCTTAGAATTACAGAAGTTCTGACGCAATGTTGCGGCTTTGTATATCACACTTTCTACCTCCTGGGAAGGTAAACTGTACCCCCTCAAGGTCTGAGAGTGCCTTACCGCTCGCTGCGCTGTATCGTATCAGCACCATTCGACAATCCCGGAACAACACAACCCCACCGTTCTCACAAAGGTTGGTTCATATGATGTCACGGCTCATGGCCGATGTTTGATGACTCAGCGGCGACGGTGTTTTTTACCTGCCCTCCCCGGGCCTGTGGTGTGGCTGGGGACCGGTTAGCGGTTTATCTGCACCCCGACCGGCCGCCGCCGCGCCCGGCCGGGTTCCGTGTTGCGTCATATGGTGGGATGGGGGATGAGGGAGGTTGTTTGCGATGGAAGCCTAAGGATAGAGGCACTGAGGAGAGTGGAGCGGGAGGCGTGGTGAGAGCGATAGGAGTGGTGACAGAAGTAGAGATGATGTTGCCATCGGAGGTGGAAGTTGGAACGGCAAATTAGATGTGTTTACTTGTCTTACTCTTTGGAATATCTATCTTACTATTTGAACAGGATCCATCTGTCTGTCTGTCTGTTTGTCCGCCACGCCGTGTAGTGGGTTCAATTTAGTCGGCCTACAGGGCAGACGGTATATCGTAGGGGGTTGAAATTTGCACACCTTATAGGTGACAGAGCGGGTCAGCGCCTTTTCTAGGTTCCGACTCGCTGGGGTGCACGGTTCGCGCGTGGGGCGCGCTGGAAGAACGCCAATGAAATTTTGATCGGTTCGTAGATCTTCATTGAGAGCCGGGGTCGACAAACTTTGTGGACTAAATGCATGCCGATCGGCGGCGAGTGCCTCGCATTGGCGGATCGGCAAGTTATTAATTTGAATGAAAAGTGGCGAAAAAATGTGTTGATTTTCGTTCAATGGAAACAGTTTGTGATACGAGTATACAAATGCACCGTGTTTGCCGCAATGCGCCACTTTGGTGACAACGCGCCATTTTTGCCGCAAATCGCACAGTTTTGTCAAATATGGCCCGATAAGGGTGCAATTTGGTGCCAAGGTGCATGCTCAATCGCCGGGTGGAAATGCGCCGCGTTTGTCGCAATGCGCCACATATGCCACAAAGCGCCATTTCCGACAAATACGATTAAGCGTAATGGAATGGCACGAATAGGGGCAGGGCTGGGAACACTCTAAGTCTAATATTTTAGTACTGATTGGATCCAATTATTCTGTGACCTGACATGACCCAGCGGTGTTGGTAGGGGTAGGGGTAGGGGTAGTGGTAGGGGTAGGGTCGTGGTAGGGTTAGGGGTAGGGGTAGTGGTAGGAGTAGTAGTAGGGGTAGGGGTAGTGGTAGGGGTAGTAGTAGGGGTAGGGGTAGTAGTAGGGGTAGTGGTAGGGGTAGTGGTAGTGGTAGAGGTAGTGGTAGGGGTAGTGGTAGGGGTAGGGGTAGGGGTAGTGGTAGTGGTAGTGGTAGTGGTAGTGGTAGTGGTAGTGGTAGTGGTAGTGGTAGGGGTAGTAGTGGAGGCAAAAGTAGAATAGTGGCCCGGGCTGATCCCATCGGACGAGAGGTGACCTATGTGACCTGGCCTGACCCAAAGTGACCGGGGCTGACCACTTGACCCGTCTTGACCCCGTATCAGCCAAATTTCACCCAACAAAGCTCTCAGAGCAGTTCTTTTTTAAATCTCTTCACATTTCCGTCCATATCTATGCTTCTAGACGACACATCGATTTGAATCGAACACCATTCGAAAGCAAATTGGCTGGCGCCGCAATTTTTTCCTACCACGCAGCAAAGCAAGTGGCGCAGCCGCTTGTCTATACTACTATTTGAGGAGGGTGCGTCTGTCCGTTACCGAGGTCCCGACTTGGTGGTGCTTTGCGTGGACTACAGGCCAGACCGTTGCACCTAGCCCGCTGAAATTTGCACAACTTATAGATCAAGGATGCGCGACGTGCCTTTGAGGGGTCTCAGCTCGATGGGGTTGGTAGGGAGCGCGTGGCACGTGCTCAAAAAGTGCAAATTCGCGTCATAGACTTTACATGTATAAATCGGCTTGCAAAATCGGGCGAAAACGGCTAATTTTGGCCGACACGGGTCCAATTCCCGTGCAATATCTTGGTGACCAGGGGTCCGACCGGCACGGGGAAAACAGCATCGTGTACAGAATTGAACGGGCTATTGAATGGTGTGCAATGCAGAGGATAGCACGCGCCACGTGCACCGGAGAGGGCACTTTTATTTGAAAAATTGCGGTTTTTGAGGGATTTTGGAATTAATTTTATTTTTAGGTGACCGTTAAATGGAGCGAGTTGAATCAACGCCTATTTGCAAGAGAAAGGTACCGCCTCTCATATAAAAATTGTGAAAAGCTGATTGATCCAAATCAAGGTGGTGCAAATCACAGGAGAAAATGGTGTTTGTCAATTTTGTGCCACTTTATTAATCACACGGGGTTTGCTGCATAACCTGATACCTTTGGCAATTGAATATGGTACCATTGGATAGAGCATTCAATTCTGTCCAATATTCACTCTTCATTTTTGCATGATAAGCAACAGTATCCTTAAAAATGTAAATGTTCCAAACCATTACATTGTCATTTTTAGCGAAATTCATCGATGGCCCTCAAAAGACTTCACGCCAGTTTTCGAATCATTCTAAAGTAGAACGCATGATAATACGACACGGGCACCTCGATGCGATGTATCTTTTTGTTTTCTTACAAAATGCTTGGCCGTCAAAAAGCAATCGAACGAAATGGATATCTACCAACCAAATCGACACAGACCAACCCAATACCCACGGGTCAAAAAATCCCCCCTTCGCGTTGCGGAGCACGCGGGTCACCCTAGTGTAGAGCTATTTCCACTGGGAAACTGAATAGCTCCACAAACTGCGGACGGTTTCATTGGGTATAAAGTCTAAAAGGTCACGAACGCTGACTAAACAAGCCAGTTTGCATTTTTAAAATGTCAGCAATCGACCTCCCGGTGCTCAACTGTCTGAAGTGCGGTGTTTCGTGGCACTTTGAATGCCATGCCTCAGTGGGACTTGATCCCGTTGTCACTAGAAATGTCTACTGCTCCGCGGGGGTTGTGACAATGGCCTCAAACCACACAGGGCAAAATGAAGTGTGTTGGCGACGCGTCGTCACATCTGGCAGGCCACAAGTGGTTCAGGTGGTTATAATCGGTCTGTCGAGGGTTGATAATTGTCCGCATCTGTAGCATCGTCAGTGGTAACAAACTTGTAGCGGTGCTTTATATGGTCTCGTTCGGGCGGATCCCATCCGTCAGTGTGGGCCTAAATATTCGTTCGAGGTATCGATTGGTTCGATAAAATAGCTGCGGTTTGGCTAAACAAACCGTGATAATCGATAACATCTGATGAGTCCCTCACATTCCGGCATTCTCTCTTCACCTTACGTAAAGCCCTACCGCTAGCCGCACCCACACCAGTTTTGTCCATACACACAGCAGTCCCCGGTCCTCCGACGCCCGGGCGGCTGCCGAATGCCGTCCGCTGTCCGACCAGCCTCACTGCGCGGTGTAGGCCGAGCTGTTCCGGCCGGACGCTTTATCACCGGCTGCCGACCGGACAGACGGGCAGCAGAGGGGCCGGGAGACTGCAGAGAGGTCGGGAGAGGCTGAGAGGAGGCCGGGAGAGACGGTGTAGAGGTCGGGAGGTGGTGTATAGGCCGGGGTGGCGTGGGGAGGCTGCGAGGAGGTCGGGAGAGTGCAAAAAAAAAGTCTGCGGAGAGGTGCGAGGCCTCCGCTCGTGGGCTGGAGCGGCCAGCCCAGCGCGCTGCATCGGCCACTGTGGCTAGGTGCACGGCGCTGTACAGTCTGTCTTAAAAGTACCGCGCAAAGTGACGGTGGATCCATCAAGCCTGACCGATGAAGGACTGCCAAATTTGAGTCACCGAAGCAATGAACATCCTCGTCCATTCCCCAGCTCCATTGGTTCGGTGACTTTCAAATTATAGCAGGCCCTTCCTCGGTCAGGCTTGATGGATCCACCGTCACTTTGCGCGGTACTTTTAAGACAGACTGTACGGCTGCTTCTTGGCTATCAGCCGCGAACGCCGCGATCGGTCGTTCCGGGTGCGGCGGCTTAGCTGACGCGGCCTGACCACCGCCAAACACGACTAAACTCCCTGTGCCTGTCTCAGCAGCGTTCGAACTACGAAAACATGGCATCATCCGGGCGGAAAATCGATTATCGCCGGGCGCCACATGGTTCAAAAGTCAACACAAGATTGACGGGTGCCGCTGGTGGTTGAAAAATACGAGTGTGGACCAGTGTGTTTGTGTGGTGAGCCGCAGTGGCGGAAGTTTTGTAAAAGCAGCAAGCTAGGCACCGTGGAGGAAAATTATTTATTTTCGTCTTTCGTAACGAACAATACCCTGCTTGCCCGCGTTCCGTGATCTCGCACGAAATGTAGGGATCAGACACTCAGGCTCATTCGTACAAGTTTACTACATCAAATCCTTAAATGAGTTGAGCATTTCGAGTTTTTCGAGTCATGTTCTTCCTCTCTTTGGCCAAGTCCTTGTTCTTGAGAAATTTTCAACCCTTTCCTGCCGCGTAGTTCTTCGTACCATCTAAACCTAAAGCCATAGTTATGGTATATGGACTTGCCCTTATCAGCTAGCCTTCGTGCACGGCACTGCACCGTTCCTTTTCACCCCCATGCCGCCGTGTCAGTCAGGGGGTCGGCCAGCCATCTGGTGCCGGCGGCCCCTGTCCGTCCGTTCGTCTGTCGAGGCCTGTTTACTGCAGTCGTATACAGTTGAGCGGAGTCGCCGGCCGACGGCACCGCGGCACGCGTCCGGCTCGGCACTGGCCAGCGGGTCACGATGGGCCGGGATGACTACCGCCTGCTCCTGGTCTGTGAGCTCTGGAGAGGCTGGTGGGTAACGGATGTGTTCACGGCTGATCAGAGATGTTTAGCTGCGAGACGTGCCACGTTTGAACTTAATTGGCTTCATGGTTCTGAGCTGCTACGCTTGTTTTTATGTCTCAGGATCTCGCTAGTCATGCCTTTCAAGGTACGGATGAGGGGTTTTCATTTGGATTCCATGCCATGTCAGCCGTTCTGGATGATAAGATTGGCCTACCTGCTGGGTCCCTGGGACGTCAGGGTGTGAGCGGAGCGACGGTGCAGCCCCTGCGGATTAGAGACGTGACTCGGCTATAGACCGGCTACCGGCCCCGGCGCCCTCACATACCGTTCGTGGGACAGACGGCGGCCCCTCGGCGGCAGCGGCGGCTCCCGCGCTCGCTCAGAGGAAGTGACGGACATTCCGGGAGTCCGGAAAACCCAGCGGCCGGCCTCTGGGCTGGGGACGGGAACTGGAGGGAGGGCGAGGCAGGGAGAGCGGCGGAGCGTCAGCTGACGCGTGACCGCGGCGGCGCCGGCCGAGACGACCGGCTGGTGATAGTGGGGGGGGGGGAGGAGAGACTGCTGACCGGTGATCCCGGCTCCAGCACGACCTGGTAGTGCTGCAGCGACTGGGAACAGCAGACAACAGTTGGCATACAGCCGCTGTAGGCTGCGGGCTAGACGGATAGTGAGAGCTCAGCTGCAGACAGCGGCTTTAAACCGTAGACTATGGACAGCGGATGCAGACAGCAGACACCAGACAGTGGCTCCAGACGGCAGACAGCCACTGTGTACAGTACCGTTAGGCGGATGGATGTGGACGGGACGGAGCAGACTGGAACGCCGGCCGTCTCGTCCTTGGCCAACGAACCGTTGACGGGCGGACGGACGGACGGCTGCGTCCGCCGCGCCGGCCCGAGGGCTGTGATCGCTGAGCTAGACGGTGGGGGCGTGTGAACGGGATGGGCCGAGTTCCATTGTGGCTAAGTAGGGCTGCGTGGTATTCGGTTACAGATACAGGTACAATGGTGAATACCGTGGGATAGCTTTATAGACGGATTACACGACCATACTGTGAGAAACTAATGCGGCTGATGTGGTATTTCTATTTCCTACCGCTGTCTGAGGCCGGGTTTCGTCTGGAACTGTACCGATTGCTGAGGTGACCGGTTCAGTCACCGAGCTGCACTGCAGACTGCCCGCCACCCCGCGCTGGCGAGATAGTTGTCCGACACGTCTGGAGTGATCCAGGAGCTCTGTATCTGGACAGTGTCAGCGACCGTCACCAACCGTCCGTCCGACCGCCGCGCGGCTGCGACGTGGCACCCGGCCGTCAGCCGGTGTCCCAATCGGCCGGTGACGCGGCCTAGGGAGCGGCCAGGCGCGGCCCGCCACCCGCCGAGGCCGAACCATCCTGGCGGCGAATAGAGGGACGGATAGGGAGATGGGTTCCCGGTAAACGGCGCCTCAGTGGTCTGGGGAGTTTTTACCAGGCGGGATGTTTGAATGACGTGTCTGACGTGGATGAAAGCAGTGAGGGATGCCAGGCGTTGTTTTGTAACATGTTTTTATGCCAGTGCGTGCTTCAGTGCTCAAACCGTACTTCCTCGATTATCGTGCCTTGTATTTTGCACACTCATCTTGACGACAAATGCATTATGTCATGAGGCATGATGACTTTGCAATTTACACCTTTAACCCGCGCCCCACTGGGGTCTGCGTATAACACGCCCTACTGGGGGGGGGGGGGGGCTATTCATAGCCCCCCCCCCCCTCCTAACTCCGAAACTACTGGGCCGATCGTCAAAATTCAAACGGCGTCTGATAGCCCCGGAAAAACTGTCGAGCAAAACCTAATTTCATTGACCTCGAGGTCCCCGATGACGTCACAGGTCAGGTCAAAGTAAAAATTATTAGCATTTTGGCTTGATCACGTTTTGGGCTCTGGCCGCCGTCTTACAAGTCAGATCAGGCTCATTTTTGGATCACACACTCGGGATTAGATGCTCTAGTTACTCTGAGGGTACCAAACTTGTACTTTGATTTTCAGGTCAAGGTCAGGTCATCACAGGTCACGAAAATATTATATCATGCGTCGGTCACGTGACACATGTTTTATGGTCCATTTAGATCAGAGATTTCGAATTTGATGTCGTCTGTGTTATTCGAGGTCATTTTGAGTCGAATTTAGCTTATGTTAGGTCACTTTCAGGTCAAAAAAGGTCAAATTTTGAAGTTAAAATTTTTCAACAAAAAAGGTGTCTATTGGATGCAGTTTGAGCTCAGGAACACGATGGTGCTATTTATATTGGCGTACGATGTCAAATTCGTACTGAAAAAATTGATTTGAAAAATTAATAATTGTGAATTTTTTGCAATAATGCGTAAAACTTGGCCATTTTTGAAGATATTTAGCTAAAACTTGCTAGAGTTAGTCATAATAATGCGTTCTATCACATATATTCCGGTTTTTTCGAAAAGTTAAAAACTTTTTGAAAAAAATGTAAAAATATAAATTTTGGATATTATTATATAAAATTTTCAGAATTTTCAAAATTTCGAAAATCCGAGATAGCAGTTTGATAGCGCCGTCTATTCTGAGTCCTCTCATGCAAAGAAATTGGATCTAGCTTAAAAACTGAGCTCTTGGGAGCGATTGCCGTGGTTCAATGTTTTGCGTCGAAATCGGCCGAACATGACGTCACTCTGACGTCATTTCCGGCCGACCTATAGTAGGTACGAAGTTCAAATTTTGACACAAGGTGTCAAATTGATGCAGCCTAGGGTACTGAAAGTTTGGCGTCGATACGTCAAGCGGTTTGGAAGTTATTGCAGAAAAACGGGAGGGGGGGCTATAAATAGCCCCCCCCCCCCCAGTGGGGCGCGGGTTAATGCGGTGCTTGGTATTTATATAACTTAAGTAACGGACCTTACATTGCATGCAGCGCTATCGTCTTTATCTTGAAGCCAACCTACAAAGATTATCTATCCCGCCACTGACGGCTGTGTGCGTTACGCTCCATTTCAGACGGTCTGAGTCTGAAGAAGGTGCAGTCGATCGTCGAGATGGCCCCGCTGAGCCGCTCCGAAATCCAGACGCTGATCGAGCTGCTGCTCAACAAGCAGCAATCGAGCACCGACTGGATCGCCAAGGGCGCCCGTCCCGACCCGCTCACACAGCTGCGCAAACAGCTGGAGGAGGTACGCACCACGTCGACCTGGTCTAGCATAACCTGACGTGACTGGGTCTGACTTGACCTGACAGAATCTGACCGGACATGACCTGAACAATCCCGACCAGACCCGGATTTATCGGGTAGTTTCACTACCAGCTGGTAACCAGATAACCGTGTATTGCTGTGGAATAGCAAAATAATCCTCCATTGCCGCACCTGAAATAAGTCCTGTTGAGGATCATATGTGCTTGTGTCGATCGTACTCTGTGCAATTTCATCACTCCTTTGGTCTCTCTCGGCTTCTGCAGGTGCCTTGTGTCCCACTCGTAACCCTTGCAGTGTATTCACCCCCTGGTCTCGACCCCTGCAGGTACAGAATCAGCTGAACGCCGAGCAGGAGTCGGCGGCCAGCAGCCAGGAGCGGCTGAAGCAGCTGCGCACCGAGCTGAACCAGGAGCGGGCGCGCGCCACGCAGCAGAAGCGCGCTGTGGACGAGCTGGCCGCGCAGCAGGCGGCTGAGGCGGCGCGCGGCGCGGCCCAGGAGCAGCGGCTGCGCGCCGAGCTGCAGCAGGCGCAGCAGCAGGAGCAGCGGCTGCGCGCCGAGCTGCAGCAGCAGGCGCAGCAGATTCAGGAGAGCAGCCAGCTGCAGCTGCACCAGGCGGTCGCTGCCGAGAGGATGCTCGTTCAGCGTGAGTGGCCGGGTGGGACGGACAGGGAGAGGGGGTGGGGATGGGGTGGTGTCAGGAGTATCTGATGTCGGTGAGCACTGAGCTGACGCGACTTTCTTTGTTCGATAGCGGGACTTTGTCGTTGTGTGATTCACACTATCTGTAGATTGGACTGTGATGCACAGCAGTCTCAGTAAGCTATCAGTATCGTTGTAGGGGTGGTTTAACCGGCCACTTGATGGACCACTCGTCCTTTCTGGCCACCCTATCGGTGCCACGGTAATCTGATAGTGTATCGGTGTCGAGGACATGGCTTGTGAGGTGTTTGACCCTTGTTCGGCGCGCAGTACTGGGTTCGGTCGGTCCACCCTTTCACACAAATATGGAGCTGCTTCACTGGCGCCATCTACTTCAATTTTTCAGCCAAAACCAAACACAGCGCGGTACTGGCGCGCTTGCGATGCAAACATTGATAGACAAATTATTATGTTGGAAATACCGAAACCTATAGCTGCTGTCGCTCCGTTTCTGCAAGGCTGTAATTTTGCCTGTTCGCGCTGGATTCCGTTACGCCCGTTTAACCGATATTCCCCTTTGTAACCCCGTGCCCTCCGTCCTCACCCCGACAGGCGAGTTCGAGCAGAAGCAGCTGGAGCAGGAGGCGCAGCGCGCTGAGCACGAGGCGCTGATGCGCAACTCGCAGCAGCGGCTCGAGGAGCGCGAGCGGCAGCTGGTGCAGCTGGAGGCGGCGCGCGCAGCTGTCGGCACCGAGCTGCAGCAGCTGCAGTCGCTGCACGGCGGCCTGGAGCGCGAGAACACGGCGCTCAAGCAGCAGCTGCAAGAGCTGCAGCACGCCGCCGACGCGGCCGGACGCGCGCAGGCGCAGCGCGAGGAGGCTGACCGGCAGCTGGCCGCGGGCAGACAGGAGGCCGAGATGGCCCGCGGCCGCGCCGAGGCCGAGCTGGCCGAGACCCGCGCCCGTCTCTCACAGGCGCAGGGTGAGGCGAGCCGGCTGATGAACGAACTGCAGGAGGCTAGGGTTGAGGTGAGTGACGAGACTGGTGGGGCCGAGCGACAGGGAAGATGTGGTTGATGGGTTGTGGTTTATTTGCCTCTGGTTGTGGAATGAATGGTGTGATGTGGTCTATGACATGTGTTTTTTACCACTTTTGCTACACTGGCGCGATTGTTTTGAGGTTGACTAATATAATCTGGAACTTGCTTGAATCACTATAGGTGGCTCTCACTTGAGGCTCCCTTTCTTCCTGTATGTTTGTTTATTTTACATAACCACACTCTCCTCGAATATCCACTGATGAAGTGTATCTTGCATCCCCTGCAGCTGGAGACGGCCCGTGAGGAGCCGGCGCACCAGAAGCAGAACGGCGATGCGCGCCAGCATGACGAGCACCTGGAGCAGCTGACCAGCCAGCTGGCGCAGCAGAAACAGGAGCTGGAGGCGCGCCGGCAGCAGCAGCAGGTCAGGAGGACTGACGACTCCGTGGGACGGGTTGATATCCTGAGTCATTGGGCAGAAGCGGCGGCTCCGCGGGAAGGGCGGGGTCGGAACCATGGGCGGGAGTATTAGAATTAGAATTAGAATGTATTTCAAGCTCATCCAGGTAGACATACACCGGCTTTTCATGTGCTTACGTCAGTTGTGGGATAAAAGGCATACACACACGACACTAATACGACATAAAACAATGCAAAAGGCAACTAACCCAATGAAAGAATGCTAAAAGGTACCACAGTAAGTACACATGAGCACGCTCAGCTCACACCTGCATCTGGGAGTGACCAAAGGGGGATGCGGTAACGAGGACTTGGGAACTAGATGTTCCTAGTATGAACTATGAAGGCTGTGAAGACTGCCTTCAACGGACGTGATATAAATATGAAGACGATAGCGGACCGTGTCCGTTTCCGTGTCAGATGGCTGGTGGCTAGATATCGTGTCAGATATCGGTGGCTGGTCTTAGTAGGTGTATCTTCCCGACTGTACAGGGTGTCCGGAAAGTCCTGACGCCTCTTTTGGACGTCGTCTAACGCGCGCTGTGGTTATTGGACTTTCAACCAATCACCACAGATATGACCCCTCGTTCACCGCTCAGCTAGGGGTCGCGTGAATATGACTTTGTAACCATTTTCAGTGATAGGTATATGGGCGAAGATGCGCCTTGTCGCTGAGAGCCCGCGCGCGGGGGCCCGGTGCGGCTTGAACGAGGCGCAAGTTGCAGCGCGATGCGGCGTTTCCCGGCGAACGGTTGAGCAGGCAAAGGTGCATTCCTGCTCGGAAATTTCCTAGAAAATATTCTCCCTCAGTTACGACCACGGTATGCCAAAGCTGCGGAGACTGAAGCAGCACTTCAGCGGCAATCGAAGAAAATCTGGGGTCTGATGGACACAAATGTTCCATCGTCTTCGTCAAGGTCATGTAAATGAATGACAGGCTGGTCCACGAGGGGCTCCTGGACACGAGGATCAAGGCGACTTGCCCTAAGAGTCATTTCGCATTTCAACAGCACGGAGCGCCCTCCAACAACGCCGCTGCCGTCCAAACCAAACTGACAGAGGAGCTCGGCGGACCAGATCACCGTGGTGAAATGAGATTAGGCCACCTTATTCTCCCAGCCTTAACCCGCTCGACTAAGGCATGCTACGCGTTTTGCAGAATAAGCTCTAGGCCACCTCTCATCACAGCCTGCAGTCGCTGAAGACTCGTATCATGACAGCATGGGAGGACAGGAAATACCATGCATCATCAAAAACCGCAGGAGTTTCCGCCCTTGCGTCGAGGCCGTCATCGGCACAGACAGTGGTTACAATGAATGGGCACTTAGCAGAAGCATGTGGCTTGGTGTTCGTGGTCATTGTTTTGTTCTATTGTTGAGTATCTATGGACCAAAGGCATTTATTTAAAAAATATTGAAAAGCGCCAGGACTTTCCGGACACCCTGTATACCTAACTGACGGTGTCCTGTCTCCGCGTGTTTCAGACGGCGGAGGCGGCGGCGCGCCGGGCCGAGCGGCTGCAGGTCAAACAGCTACTGGTCGGGCTCTTCCCCACGGTCAACGCCGACCAACTCGATGTGGTGAGAGACGACATTCATTGTTATTATTGCCTGCAACTATGCTCTTACGTCGGCTGAAGGAGTACAATATCTGAAAAAACTATGCTGGCTGTGTGTAGTTTGCTGGATGTCGTGTGCGATGCGCTGGTTGTGTGTGATGTGCTGCTTGTGTGTGTTGTACGGCTTGTTGCCCGCCGCAGTACCTGACCCCTCTGACCGTTCCTCCATTCTCCAGGAGTCGGCCGGCTGGTCGTCACAGCTGCAGGAGCGGCTGCGCTCTGTAACCGCCCCTGCCCCCGCTGCCGCCCCCGCCCCCGCCCCAGCGCCGGCGGCCGCGCCCTCAGCCGATACCGCGGCTCTGGAGCGGCGCCTGCATGAGATGGCTGCTGAACAGAACGCTCTGATGGCCCAGGTTCGCCACTACCAGAGCGTGCTGACAGAGACGGTGAGTGGGGAGGAGAGGGGGACGGACGGGGGGGGGCAGTGGGGAGGTGGGGGGGGGGGGATATCGGTGGGACGGTCCTGGGCTGCACCACTGGCTATTTGCAAATGTCACGATTAACGACATTATATTTTTAGGTTCAGTATATGCTAAAAGATAAAACGGAAACAAGGCTTGATATTGCATCAAAAGGCAAAAGGCATCAAAGGCGCATCAAAGTAGCTATGGTTTTTAATTTATAGATTGACAGTCCCGGGCATGGCCCATTACCGAAGTTATTGAAGTAGGCGACACAGGACAATTTGCTGTGTTGCTATTGTTAGGAACATATTTAAGTGCTGTGATGTTTATCACGCTTTTAATCATTTCATTACGATAAAACTCTAACCTGACTGCCATTGTAGGAGCCTGGTGCGCTGCGAATTCGGCTGTGGATAAATTTACTAAGCTGCTGGCGTCTGTACTCTGTATAATGGCCTGCCGTGAATGGCCCGGGCCATTCCTCGCAATGTTAGCGAACGAAATCGATAGTCGGCAAAGGTCTATGCATTTTCGCCTTATTCGAACATTCCTGGCTCTGCGACTATGGCGTCTGATTGATTATATCACAACAATTTTTGCAAATGAGACTGTCAGAAAGGCGCATGCCTTTGAATAAGGTTCATTTGTTGTGGTCATGAAATGCCATGAATTTTTCAGTGGATGGTGATGCAATCCATTTATGCTGTCAGATGGTAACTGCTGGCTTTCTTTTGTTTACGTGTTTTAAGTGTCGTTATTGTGTGCCGTTCTGCCTTAGTCTTTTTTCTGTAAAAAAGACGTAATATGTGGCTCGTGGCTCAGCTCTTGTGCTGCTACTGGTATCTGCCACTCGTTAACATTGGAGTTCCCAGCTCAACCCTTGCAGTTTCGGCAACAGACCTGTCATTCCTGAGGGCTGTTCAGAAAATAGAGGGGTAAAATACGCTGGCTCTTAGCTGGTGCGAAGTTAATTCAACGATATCCTTTTCAAAGTAATCATATATTTATAAGACGGCATGTGCCAACAAAAGCGATAAGTTCGGTCTGCAGCTGGTAAAGACGGGTTTCGTTCCAACGGTGCAGTGAGCGGGGGCGGTAGATATAGTGGTAGCGTGGGTGACTGCACTCGGTTGCGTCTTGGACATTATAACGATGAACGGATCTACAAAACGCATGCATTCAATGCCGCTGTTACGCTAGTATTTCGTAATGGTTTGGTACTTAAGCGTCATTTTGCTGCCATTGATCTAAATCATCGAATATATTCTGATATATGATTGCATTGATATGTGCAGCAAATAAAATAATATTCCTATAAGCATTTGGACGCACTGCGTTCATGGCCCTCCACAATGTCCCTTGATCATGTTATGTAATCACCCGTGAACCGTGTCCCTACCAGCATCCGTTATGCCTAGCTACGTATTCGGCTGCTGTGTTTCTTGCCCACACAGGAGTCTATTGCTGATCCGAGTCCAGTATCTGTTTACCATCCCCCTCTCCCCCCCCCCCCACACTGAGTTACGTGTTGCTGAGTATCTATGATCTGTCCGCCTGGCCCAATCTTTTAAATGTGCAGGAGCATCCGCGATGCTGACCCGACTTGTGTTGTCCCGCCACTGATCTTTGTTCATCTACCCTCGCAGGAGTCGATGCTGACCCGCCTGCAGTATCCGTTATTTCACCACTGAGTATCTGTTACTGAGTATCTATTATCTACCCACGCAGGAGTCGATGCTGACCCGCCTGCAGCTGTCGGTGGAGGACGGTGACCGCGACTGGGAGCGGCGGCTCTCGGACAAACAGCGCGAGGTGGACCAGCTCCGAGCGACGCTCAACACACAGGCCAGGTCAGTCAGCCGACCGACCGCCGGGGCTGATAATGCAGCGGCATACCGGAGCAGGCCAAATTGGAGTGGGGTGGTTCTTGGCGCTAGTACTCTCGACTGCAGTGTACATTATCATGAGTTTGGCCTACTAAATGTGACAGTTGCTAAAATGTGTTCTCTCAGTGTTATGACTGCAATCATGTTTTAGGCGTAATAATAGCAGTTTTTCATCACAGAGGCTGGAAGTTTAAGAGATTTCAGGTGCCGGAGTATAAATTTGTAACGGAGAACAGAATCGTTTGGACCCGACTGGGACCAGCAGCAGCAAAGGGCCTTATTTCCAACAATGGTGCCGTCTGTTTGTATACCTCATAAGGAGGATTTTTGTTGGATTACGTTTTCGAAGTGGATGCCGTTTCTCCCATTCTGACGTCTGACCTGTGAACATCAGTCGGCCCGCCTGCCGCGCTCGGAGTCCCTGACCTCGGTCTGACCAGTCTGCTCCACCTGTCGGTCAGGCCAGTCTGTCTGACCAGTCTGTTCCAGCTGTCTGACCTCAGTCTGCCCGGTCTGTTTCAGCTAATGCCACCTCTGGCTCCGGAGCCGCCGCGCCGCGCCGGGCCGACCGCAGCGGCCGCCACCGCGCACAGCACGCGTCGAGTGAGGCACGGATTCCAGTGGTTCAGGCGCGCCGCTGGCCCGGCCGGCCGGCGACACTGGTACGCGTGACACACACACACACATACACAGACACACAAACACAGTACGGCCACGGGCGGCCGGGGCGCCGATATCCGCGGACGGGGCCGCGCGATACGGTGCCGACGACGAAGCGCACCAATAATTATGTTATCTCTCGAGTGTGAGTGAGTGACCGACTGTTGAGTTGCCGCCGCCGCTGCTCCGCACGTGTGGCCCGTCGCCGTCGCTCGCTGGCGGACTTCTCGGCCGTGAACTTCTACTTATGGAAGCCGCGCGTGCGACGCGGACGGCAGAGCCGAGGGCGTTATGGCGTGCGCGAGCAATAGGGGCGCGGACGCCGGCCGGCCGCGTTCGGTGGGGGAGACCTGTACATAGCGGCGGCCGGCGCGGCGTGGCACGCGCGCCCACCGGCCGGGCCGCGCAGCCCTGGCTGTCATCACCTATCCCAATATAATTAATTTTGGAGAGATTATCGAGTTTTATTGTGGCTCTGAGTGCGGTATGAGACAGAAAAATGAACGCCTAGCTTGACGTGGGGTGGAGATGAGAAATACTGTTATTTCTTAGCAATGCGTGGGTCGGATGATTAACGAATCGATCAAAATCAGTTTACGGAGGACCGAAAATACGCATGACGATAAAAACCTGCTAATAAAAGTGCGTATTAGATAACTGATTGGCGTCACACATTTTGCATAAAAATACGCTTTATTTGGCGTCTTACGAAACATGAGTACAAGCCACGTTACGGATTTTCGTCCCATCCTCCGGTACTCCTGAAGGCTGAGGTCACGGTCGGCGGGCGGGCCTCCTCTCGGCCCCCTCAGCCGTCCTGCCGCGCGGCTCGGCGCCGGTCAGCGGCAGCGGCAGCTCGGCACAGAGCGGGGCCTGGGGAGAGGCTACGGCTAGCCTCCGCCGCTCGCCCAGCGCCCGCTCCACCTGCTGCAGCCAGCTGGCGATACGCTGCTGACGCTCCCGGCTGCTGACCGGCCGCGCCACGCTGAGGAGACGTGGGGAGGGACGGGATAGGGTTGACATGGTGCAAACACGATGGGAGACAAAAGGTTGAGCTCTCGGCTCCGGTGAAATAAAAGATGAGTCTGATACGTCTGACGAAATGGGGGCCGCGAAAAAATCGCTAAAATATGCGGTAAAGGCGTGCGATGTTCAATAGGCACATGCTTCTATGGAATTACATAACATCCCTATTGCGAATATATTGCCACGAGAAACAGCGTCCCAAAAGCGCAATGCTCTTGTGTAGGTAAAAAAGTAACTGCTGAGCGATGCGGCACAGTATGTATCAGGCGCACTCCGGGAGAGACATCTATCGGCAAAGTTGTCAACTACCTGGCGGCATTGCGGCACAGCATGCGAAAGGCGCGCAGCGCGAGAGACATCTATCGGCAGAGAAGTCAAGTACGCGGAAGCATTGCGGCACAGCATGCGACAGGCGCGCAGCGCGAGAGACATCTATTGGCAGAGAAGTCAAGTACGCGGAAGCATTGCGGCACAGCATGAGACAGGCGCGCGGTACGAGAGGCATCTGCTGCCAAATAATGAAGATATGTGGCATCGTCGGCGTATTAAATAAACGCTCGCCAACCCGTTTTGCATTGAAGCAATTTGGATAGGATGAGGAATCAAGATTTCCCAGCTCAGAATGCTCAATTTTCAGTGTCCCAAAGCAGTTTTATGTTCATTCTCGGTATGAGTTGGGTAGCTCACCGTTTGTCGTGTCGCGCCACATTCCGCACCGTGAGCTCCTGGACGCTGTCGCTCGCCTTGGCCTTGGTCAGCGTCTCCAGTTTGTCGGCGATGGCGCGGTCGAGCACCTCGGCCGGCGGCGCCGACTCGCGGCTGAGCTGGCGCGCCTTGGCCAGGCTGGTGTGCCAGAAGGGCCGCTGCTCGGAGAGGCGGCTGGCGCGGCTGGCTGAGGCGGCCGCCTCTCGGGCGCGCACCGGGTCCGAGACGGTGGGCGCCGAGTGGCGCTGGCGCTCGGCCCGCTCAGGCCGCTCGCCGCCGTACAGCTGGTGGATGTAAGAGCGCACTTTGTCCGCTGACATGCCGTGCGCGTGCCGGTGTTCGTGGCGCGGCTCCACCCGGTCAGCCATCCTGGTGCGGCCCGGTCCCCGTCCTGCCCAGCCAGCAGCACTGCTCGGTGGCGCCGCTCACTGATCGCCGTGCATCGGAAATGCGTGGAAGAAGTAAAGAAATATGTAAATTATTGCTCTAGGGAATTAGCATGATTTAGCTCAAAATTTAGCAAACGATACGATTTGGTGACCCTAAACTCGAAAGAAAAATGTTCCTGCAAAATGAAAATCCCAATTCATAGAGATTTCGATCAGCAGCAGAGTTCCTTTGAGTTCCTGGCTTTCCTTGAGCTCCACTTCCTCGTGGGTTAGCTAAAATAGCTCTCCTATCTTTAATGCTTTCCGTAACGTATTCAAATCAAACAAATCATAATTCATTCCGTCGAGTGAGTTTTGGTGAGCGACAATTTTGGTTGTATAACGTTTGGGTATGGGCGATGGCGTAGGAGGAACAGGTAACACACTACAGATGCACCTGTGGCTGTCATTTGTCCGTGTGCACTATGCGGTCAACTGTAATTACGAGCGAGCGAGCGCAGCGAGCGAAGCGAAGTCTTTTCAATATAACGGAAAAATCTCAGTATGAGCGGCCCGGCCCGGCCCGGCCCGGCCCGGCCTGTAACGCTTTTGAGAGGCTTATATCTCAGCAACCGCTGGACCGATTGCCCTGCGGTCTTTTTTGCTGGGTAGCCCCATCCCTTCTACCCCGTAATTGACTACTCTTGACACATCTCAGTGACCGTCGTGGCACGTGCCACGTGAAAAGTCAAGGGTGTTCAAGCTGTTTTGCAAAAGTTGTGATTTTGAGAGGCTCATATCTCAGCAGCCGCTTGGGCGATTGTCTTGCGGTAATTTTTGTAAGGTAGCTGCATCCTTTCTACTAGTGGTCGGATACCCTTGATCTATGTGAGTGACCCCCACTGCACGTGCAAAATACAAAAAGTAGAGGTGCCAAATGTGTTCCCATTTCAATAACTCGGTAATTACTGGGGCGATTTCGCTGAAACTTGGCATACAGGTAGGCACCCACCAGGCAATGCATTCCCATGTGTTGCGGTTAGGGTGCTACTGCACGTGCGCACGTGCAGGGGGCGTTTCCAGATCTCGAGAACGGCTGGGCCGATTGCGCTCAAATTTGGTACACGGTTGGGGACCGGTTAGTAGGGTGCCGTGCAAAAGTCATTTTGGACCCCGTTTGCACGTGCGCACGTGCAGAATGCCGCTTCCAGATCTCAGGAACGGCTGGGCCGATTGCGTTCAAATTTGGCACACCGCTAGCGACCAGTTAGAATGGTGCTTTGCACAAGCCCGTTGGAAGTACCCTCTCGCCCTTCCGCACGTGCAGGGCTCACTATCTCGCTCGCTCGTTCTTCGCCCAAAAGGCGTTTTACTGGTAATAATAGATGTAAATTATAAATACGAATATGTAGAAATAACATCCATGGTTTATTCTGTATTCAAAAAGGAATGAGGAAAACGTTCTGTGACGGATGTCAACCGGACATATAAATCATACTCAATGGACAAATTATAAATGAATTTATATGCCCTAATATTGTGTGCATAAACCTTTGTTCTAATATAGTTATGATTTAATGTTCGCTACGTTCGCCTGGCATTGCTTTAATGACAGGTCCTTTGATAACATAAATGCATCTCTCACTGTATCTAAACACGCGCATTGGACTAATCGCAGGTTTGTGCGACAAGTCATCGAGTTGAATGCTGTCAAACGATAATGCTGGCAATAAATGCAGCGAATCTAACGGACAATACATATTCAGCACTCAGCTTCCGGTTCATGGCTGTGATGCACTACCGGTAAGAACACCCAATGGATACACTGCACTGCGAAACTTGACCGACATGACGCTTTGGGAGCCTCTAGGTCGATAGTAATCCACGCGATGGCTTGGATCCATGACCTGGTGGGTCCTGCAGGACCCAGGTAGTGGTCCACTCCAATCGTAACACATCGGGACAGGCCGGTAATGCGAGGCCTTAGACGCTGCCAAGTGGTAAGCGACGTTCAAAAGACCGACAAAATAGTATTTCAGTCATGTTTCGGTAAGTTCCTTCGCCTCTCACCCACCAGTCACCTTTGTAATTTTCATAGTGGATCCGACCTGTTAGACTGCTTATCCCCTGAAAGTTGCACTCGACCGACTTAGCGCTTAGGAGTCTCTTTGAGAGTAAAAGTTAGTCAGTAGTCATCCGTATGTTGTTGAGTCTGAGTGCAAAGCAATGATTCATTAAAAATATCAAATGTAAAGCTAAACCAAATGCATAGTTGTTTGCCATCAAAACTTAATTCATCATCAGCTGCTGCTTATTATATATGTTACGGGTCATATGCTAACTTGGGCAGTATGCACTATGCAAACTACCCGGGCAGTATGCATACTACCCAACAGCTCGGGCAGTATGCATACCGCCCGGGTAGTATGCATACTACCCGACCCCTTGGGCAGTATGCATACCGCCCAAAAGTTTGGGCAGTTTGCCTACTGCCCGCTTTCTGACTTTAACCCGCGCCCCGTAGGGCTATCGGCGGACCCTACCAGCCGTAGGGGAGGGGCCGTTTCGGCCCCCCCCCTTAGATCTCGGAAACTTACCGGCCGATTTTCAAAATTCAAACAGTGTTCGATAGCCCTACCGGGGAACTACCTTGTGACCAAATTTCATTGACCTAGGTCAAACCGATGACGTCACAGGTCAGGTCAAAGGTCGGATTTTCACCGTTCACAGGCATTTCAAGAAATGTGTTGTGAAATCGAGTAAATTGGTAATTTATTGAAAACCATCGATGGTACATTGTTCGTCAAACACATACTTTGCTATCTGAGGTCACTGATACCAGGTCAGGTCACAGCGAGGTCAGGTCACCGGGGGTCACAATATGAAAGTGTGGTGTGATACATGTTTTATGGTCCATTTTACATGACAAATGCGATTATGTGGGTTAGGCAGCCTTTGGGGCCAGCCTGGGTCACATTTTGGTTAAGGTCAGGTCAAGGTCAGGTCAAATTAGGTCAAATTTCAAAGTTGATATTTTTGCATAAAATGGGTATCGTTTCGATGCAGCTCGTCACGGGGAGTCTAATGGTGGTCTTAGTTCTGCTCTACTAGGTCTAGAATTGCCAAAAATTGAGTTTGAAAATTTGACGTCATCATTTTTGAACAGTTTTTCCGCTATAACTTGGCCAAAAAACGAGGTATCGATATGAAATTTGGTATGTATATAGAAGACGGTAGGTACTCTCACATATATTCCGTTTTTTTTCGAAACTTAAAAAACTTTTTTGATTTTTCGGCTAATATATCCAAAAATATGCTTTTTTGATTTTTAGGGGTCAAAACTCAAAAATTTCAAAAATCCGAGATTAAAGTTTTGTAGCCCTGTCAATTCTACACCTTTTATATTTTGATCATTTTTCTGTATCTTCAAATCTGTAGGCCTTCTCGCGAAGGTCTTTTTTCGGTCGAAAATGACAGAACATGACGTCATTCTGACGTCATTTGTGGCCGACATATCATAGCCTCCGGAAAAATTTTTGGTCTCAATGTGTAAAATTGATGCCCGGAGGGGTTCTGAAAGTTTGGTGGGGATATCTCCAGCCGTTTTGGAGATATCGACGGAAAAGAACAGGGAGAGGCCGTTTCGCCCCCCCCCCCCCCCTACGGGGCGCGGGTTAAGTTGTGTAATCTATGTCCACATTACGAATATACATAAATGGCTCTCTGGGTAGCAATAGATCAACCGGAAAGAATTTTTATCGTCAAACGTGATTGCTCGATTGTAGGATGGAATGAGGATTGGAATTTAATCTTGAAATCACTTTTCCAAATTCCATTGTTGAATAACTAGTGGCCAACAAGTCATTGTCATTATGAAGCGTGAACTGAGTGAAATGAAACGACATTGTGTCAGCATTTGGTGGCTTAGGCTTGGCACCTTGACCGTAGAGGGCGTTATTACAATTTCAATACCTACAGCTGCATGCAATTATTTATATGTAGGACGTTATAAGTTCTTATGGAAACCCACCAAATTAAATTTTGAAAAGCCATCTCACTTTCCGAACACAATTGCACTCGCAGTTCCTTCGCCAATTCAGCAAACGAAGGCATCTGAGGCACCCATTGTCATTCATTTGCTCCATATTGTAAAACATTCCGGATGGTGACCCCTCTCACTGAGAAAGGTAGCGCGTATGGCATGGGGGGGGGGGGAGGCAGCGGCCAAGGCAATTTCCAGTGTCTGTCGCAGAGTGTGCACTGGCCGCTGTCGCTGCGTGAAAGCTGGTCGAAAATGCTCGTCAATATGCCATAAGAGCACTCATTGTAATAATAAATGAAGAGACATGCTTACCTTGATGTGTTTAGATAAGGAAAGAGGAAAAAATTCATCGCACCTAAAGTATGTTTCATGCGATATAGGAATCTTGTATCAAATACAAGCAGCGGCTTAGTTATCTAAAATATGAACTGAATATAAAATAAAGGACGAGATTGCTCAAAAATGATACATATACACAGCAAGAATCATAGGACGTAGCTTTTTCATTATTTGATCAGTCACCAAGTCGTATTACTTCTTAACCCGCGCCGTGCTGGGGGGGGAGGGCGTTTTTACGCCCCCCCCCCTCAGGGTTTTTGCGAATATCTCAAAAACGACGGTGCGATCTGTTCATACATCATTTCCGCACATGTGAAAATTTCAGACCCGGGTCGTTCAAGGTCAGGTCACCAGGTGACGTCAAGTGACCTTACCTCAGAAAAAGTTGGAAGGCTCGCTATAGCTACACCGACTGAACAATCACTTAGAAACTTTAAGCTATTGATATGAGTAGCAGTATGTATAAAATGTATACCTCGGATTTTTTATGTCTGTGACCTAAGGTCAGGTCAATTATGCGACCTCTCCGTTGTAAGTCAATAGGAGAAAATTGAAATGCGCCTCTTTTGGACGAATATCGTTCAAAACGCTCTCAAACATCACTTCATAGGTAAACATGACACACTGAATCGTAAAAAATGCACCTGTGACTCCGCTCTATGCCCCTGAGGTCATCTAAGGTCATGAACGGTCACAAGCAGTTTTTTTGGCTATAACTTTTGATAGAGACGTGCTAGAGCGATGAAAACACGTCAGATGTGCTCAGCTCGACGATACGGATCGATTGATATGCAACATTACCCTTTTCGGTCAGATCATGAACTTGACCTGAGGTCAAATTTTCGAAATGACCTTTCAAGGTCAACAAATAGTTCATTCGACGCTTCTCGACGAGAGGGACA